CTCTAGAGGATCTTCCGGATTCAGGATTCAAACCCGAGTCTTCTGCATTACAGGCTCCGTGCTGGGCTCTCAGCACACCTGCATATCTAGGGTCCTGTCCTTGCCCCTCCGGACTATCATCTGTCTCCCTGATGATCTTCACCATTGCATTCTATCAGTTTCCTGTCCACTATAGTAATTGGTCGCAGCAGTGATAGGAAACTGATATAATGCAGTGGTGGTAATGACCAGGGAGACCGGTGATAGTTTGGAGGGGCGGGGATGGAACCCTAGATATGCAGGTCTGCTGAGAGCCCAGAATGAGCCCATAAGGCTTCCTGGAGGAAGTGGTGTCTACACCGAGGTCTGAAGGAGGGTTGGAAGCTAAGTGGGACAAATAGGAGAGTGGGGGGCAGGCAGGGAACAGAGGGGTGTCACAGAGGTTCAGTATGGCTGCTGCATGAAGTGTAAGAAAAGGCAGGCAGAGTCAAGGCTGCAGAAGTGAGTGGGCTGGGTTCTATAAACCTTCCAAGAGCATCTAGACTTTAGCCTGAGGGTGAGGAGAGCTCTGACTTGACTTTAGGCAGAGCAGTAATGCTTTTGTACTTAAAATCTCTCCTGTTATCTAGTTCAGATATGGGCTGACCTAGCTTGGGTCTGAGGACAGAGGTTAGGAGTCAGGAGTCTGATGCCACGATGCAGGTGAAAGATGACGGTGGTTCACAGGTGCTGGGAAGGAAGATGGATGGGGACTGAGTTAAGAAAGCTAGAACAAAGAGAATCAGTGGAGCACGATTACACCTGGGGCTGAGGCAGAGGAGAAACTAAGAATGATTCTAAAATTTTGCCAAGTCTGTAGCAACATTGATTGATAAATGGTGTGAGTTTCACTGTAGTGGAACGTGAAAGTAGATGCTGAAACTCTCTGAGGAGAGCGTTGGGTAGAAGACAGGGATTTGAGAATGGTCAGAATGGAGATAGATGAGATCAAGGATTTTGCTGATGTCTGTCATCCTCAGAGCCTGGATACACAGCCAATAAGCACCTACTGAATAAACCATGAAATGAAGTGAGAGCAGTGAATAAGATCACGCAGGGGATGTATAGAGTTCATAGAGGTGAGTCCAGTGCATAGAGGAATGACCCCATGGACTACAGCCCACCAGGCCCCTCCATCCATGGAATTCTCCAGGCAAGAATACTGGAGTGGATAGCCATTCCCTTCTCCAGGGGTTCTTCTCGATCCAGGGAAGATTTTTAATGAATATACCATGATTTGCTAACCTATTCTATTGTGGATGAACATTTGAGATGTTTCAAGTTTTTGCCTTTTATGAGTAGAGCTGTCACAACAAACTTGTGTACATGTCTGGTTTGGTATTCACTCACTTCTGTTGGGTGTACATCCGACAACAGAATTGTTAGGTTATACTGTATGCTTTAACACATCCTGTGAAACATTTTTTTCCTCCAAAGTGGTATCAAAACATACTCCCACCAGCAATCTATAAGGTGAGCTCCCCAAATTCATCAACATCTGAGTAGTCAGTCTTTTAAAATTTCAGCCATTTTGGCATGTTGGGGGTAGCTCTTTGTGGTTTTTACTTTGTATTTTTCCAGTGGCTAAAGATGTTGAACACACTTATTGGTCATTTTGAGATCTTTTTCTGCAGAGTGCCTCTGCAGGTTCCTTGTCCATTTTAAATTAAGTTGCCTCCTTTTTTCTTATTTATTTTTAGGAGCTATTTATATATTTTGTATTCAAGTCCTCTGTCAGATATTATGTGTTTTCAAATCTCTTTTCAGTCTGTAGAGCACTTTCATGAGTATTTTTTTAATAAATAGAACTTCTTAATTTTAATAAACACTAATTTCTAAATCTTTTCTTTTATGATTAGTTTGTGTGTGTGTGTGTGTGTGTGTCCAATTTGAAAAATCCTTGCAAAAAAGAGAAAAGAAAAAATCCTTGCTTATCCCAAAGTACTGAAGATATTTTCTTCTTTCTTTCTTTCTTTTTTTTTTTTAAAGAAACTCTTTTTAAGTTGTAAAATTTAGGTCTATGACCCATCTTGACTTAATTTTTATGTATGGTATGTGATGTAGGAATTGTGTTTCATTTTTTGCCTATAACCAAATCCAATTGCTTCAGCAAAATTTACTGAACAGAATATCTTTGTCCATTGAGTTGCAGTGGAGCCTTTGTTATAAGTCAAGTGAACTGTATAGGTGAGTGTCTGTTTCTGAACTCCATTGATCTAATTGTCTAGTCACTAAAAACTATGCTGTCTTGGTTATTATTGCATTATAGTAAGTTTTGAAATCTGGCAGTTTAAGTCCTCCACCTTTGTTTTTCTTTAAGGTTTTCTTGAATATTTTAGATCCTTATGAATATTTTAGAATTTCCATATGAACTTTAGAATTAGCTTGTCAATTTCTCCCCAGATAAACCTGTTGAAATTTTGAATGGGAATGTATTAAGTCAACAAGAAAATTTGGAGATAAATGGCGTTTTTAAAAAATTTTGAGTTTTCCAATCCATGAATATAGTATGGCTCTTCATTTATTTAGATTATCATTAATGTCTCTTTAGTAATTTTCAGAAGTCTTCTGCTTCATTGGTAATTATGTCTCTAGCTCCCATTTCCTCTTAGTGGCAGGACTTAATTTTGCCAGTTAAGGTAACTCAGTCACTTCCCATTTTCTCTCAGTGGCAGGACTTAATTTTGCCAGTTAAGGTAACTCAGTCACTTCCCCTGACTTCCAGTCCACAAGCATGATCTTCCTTGCTGGTTTTGCATGGTGGCCACTGTCTCCACCCTTATTTACTGTTATGCTTCAGTCTCATACAACCCACATTGCACGTGAGCCCTCTTAGCCTCTTGCGCTTTCTCCTGGAGGACACCAGAAACTTTTTGGTGCTTTTACTCATACCCACATGGGAGTGTAGGGCTCTGTGTAATGTCATCAGACACGCCCTTGGCCATCTCAACTCTGGCTCCATGCTGTCTGGACACGGTTCATCTCCAGGGGCCTTGCTGTCTCCTCATGTTACAGCGTGGGATTTGAAGAAGCTTCAGTTCTTTAATTCCTCCTAATTGAGCTGTGGTTTTTGGCCCCATCTCTGTGGAACTTAGTTAACAGGGCACAGAGATGGTAAAATCCCAGCCTGGGGCTAAGCCTTTTCTTCTTCCTCTCCCCAAACGTCTCCCCTCAATTCAGAAAAGTCTCTAATCTCCTCTATGTGTGGCAGGAAAACCGTTCTTAAATATACCAACACATTTCTCCCAACTTTATAGTGTGGGGTCTTCAACTCTCTGCTCTATGTCCTCAAGTCCCTGCTCTTGATTGTGAAGCCAAATTCTGCTGTGATCCCCACCCAAATCTTCACATGCATGACCCCAGGATGGAGGGACTCCCTAAAAGGGGCTAACCCTTCTGACCCCACCTTCGTTCCCACTCTGTGACTGATTAGCACTTAGCCATCTAGCTGACTACTTCCTTTGGGAAGACCTCATGGAAGGAGCAACATTAAAATAGGGTTTTGAAGACGGAGCAGAAGTTTGTTAAATGAAGAAGCGGGGTGCTGAGACATGCAGTCCTGCCCCAGTCTCTGGGATGAAGAAACAGGAGGAGGGAGGGGAAGGAGTTGGTGGAATGCACTTGGGTTTGGACTGTGGGGAGCTGTATGGTAAGAGCACAGACCCTGAGGTCAGATGAAGCTGGGTTCAGATCCCAGCACTGCCTTTTACTAGCTTGGTGGCCCCGTGCACATGACTTAACCTCCTCAAGGTTCCCTGTCTTCAGTGGTAGAGTGGGGACATGAATGCCTGCTTAGTTAGGCTCAGGTGGGGACAGAACAAGGGTGAGGATCACATCACACAGAGCCCAACGTCCAGAGGTGCCCTTTTTCTGTGACGGTGCGACAGTTCCCCAGGTCTCCTGATCAATATGGGACAACCCTTTAAAGCCCCCAAAGTTAAAAACAAAACAAAACAGTCATTGCTATGAGACCAGATCAAGTTGTAAGCACAGTTTATTTCCCTCTGTGGTATGAGAGACAAACCATCTGCCAGGGCCTCTAAATACCAGGTGTAACTGTCCCTTTGGCCTGGACACCCAGCCCAACTCATCATACCTTCAGAGATGGCTTTCTCCTTAAGCTGGGGTGGGGGAGCGGGATGAGAGAGGGAGTACTGAGAGGCTAGGGGAGGTCCTGAGCCTCCCACAGGAGGCGGCCACCACGGCTTCGGCCCGTGGATGCTGACCAGGGTGCCACGGGCTGGCCTCAGGCCTCCCCTGCAACCTCTCCAGCCCGGGAGGGTGTGCAGGGCTGAGGCAACAGGGCCTCCAAACAGTTCTGCAGGCAGCTGGGGGCAGGGGTCATGCCTAACTTAGACTTTAGACTTCTGGAAGCCCAGGGGAGCTGGAAGTGTCTTAAATGTCATCTGGTTCAACACTTTCTTTTCCAGGCGGGAGAACTGAGGCCTGATGACATGGCAGCAGATTATAGAGCTGGTCCTGGGGCCTGGTGACGCGAGGCCAAGCAACCCCCCCGTTTGGCTCTGTGACCTAGGCAGCTGGACTCAGTTCTCCCTATTCTGGGTTCTCTGAGCTTAATGACTGTCCCAAGGCCTGAGGGCCAGGACGGCCCCTGAACCCGTGTCCCAGTGAGGCCAGGGTTTCCAAAATGAGTAGAGAGAAATCCAGGGCGGCATCAGGAGGCATTTTCTGATGAAGGGCGGCGCCCAGGGAGCAGAGGGACACATACCCTTGACATCAACTAGCTCTTTAAGGAAATAAACCACTGCGGAAAATGTGTAGGACAGACAACCCCAGGGACTCCATTCGGTACCACAACATGAGAGGACTGGGGCGGCGGGCAACCACCAGATAACCAAGGCCAGGCTGGGGAGAGGCTGGGCCCGGGATGGCGGGGTGGGGTGGGTGGAGGAACGTGGGGAGGCGGGAAGAGGGACGGGGGAAAGTGAGGGAGGCTAGGCTCCCACCGCCAGAGCAACCGTCTACTCTGAAGGCTCCTTGGGTATATATGCCACATTATCGTAGGCGGGGGGAGGAGAAGCTGCGGGGCTGGGGATGTTGAAGTCTGTGCCGAAGGCGTTCGGCAGGAAAATCACAGGCTGCAAAGGAAAAGAAAACAGACCCAGGCAATCCTGGTGGCTCCGGCGCCTTCGGGGAGCTGTTGAAATAGTGCTCTCTTGTGGGTTTTGTGAGAACAGCGCCCTAAGTAATGAACGCTCCGAGGATGAATTGGCTCCAGGCATCAGTTCAACTAAATTTCCAAGAAGTATTTGTTGAGGTCACCTATGATCTGGGCATTGGAGGTACAGCAACGAAACCGACAGGAGTCTCATGTCTCTAGGAACTAAGGTTCTGAATTTCTTTGTCTCTGGACAGCCCTACACTGGTTCAAGGCTTGGATACCACAGCGCCAGCATCCTCGTAGCCTCTTCGCGGCGGCTTCACTGCCTCCAACCCCTACCGCTCCGCCCCGCTCCCCGCCCCCGCAGTGGGCAAACCCTCTAGATTGATTTCCCTGAGCCCCACTCTACTCACCCTCGCCTCTTAGCGTACAGGCCTCTGCTCAGACTTTCAACAGCTCCACACCCCGTTTTGCACAAATCCACCTCCCAAGCGGGACCCCCACCCCGCCCCCGCCCACACTATGACCTGCATGTTTGTTTCCGCGAAGGCTGACTTCCAACTGGTTCCCTTGCCACGAAGGCCCTTCCTCCATCCCCTCTCTGTCTGCACTGTCCTCCAGTTTGGGGAAAACGGAGGTCAATGCCCACCCGAGTCGTGCTGCCCTTCCTGATGCCCACGTCTCTTGACCCGTGAACTTCTGGAGGGTCCCACTCATCCCCGACAGTGATCCTCCTCGTCCCCAGCGCCTGCCTTCCAGGGCTCCATGAGCGGTCACACAGAGCAGCGAGTCCCTTGATGCTGGCGTGCCCCTGGGGCCACGAGGAAAACCTTCCCGCAGAAACACCTTTGAGTTCCCGAATGTACGGATGTACTAGTGGGGCATTCTTTGAAGGGCCGGGGGGAGGGGGGGGAGGGGTGAGGCACTCACCGTGTGGGCTTGGGCGCGAGTGGCTTGGCACCCAAAGTGGGTGGCAATGACCGCAATGAAGAACTCCAGTATGGTGAAGATGGTAAGCACGGCCAGATAGCCCCTGCCTACATCCTAGGGACCAAAACCCACAGTCAAGGCCAGCCAAGAATTCTAGAGCAGAGGAGGAAAGAGGGCCCAGAGCGAGCCAGAATAACGTGCCCCAGGTCACACAGCCAGCCAATGGCAGAGCTGGAGCGGGTCTCCCTGCTGCGAGATGCCTACTCTCCCTTGAACTCCAGATTGCTTCTCTGCGACCCGCCCCCCACCCTCCACTTCGCCCACCCTTGAGGTCGAGTCCTGGGGTCCATATACACTTGGGGGTCTCTTGGGATTGGCAGGCTCTGCTGATGCCCAGGGCCCTACAACCTCCCTTCCCCCCACCCCCGCCTCCTCCTGGATGTGGCTGTTACTCTTCAAGTTTTCCCACTGCTGGGGACGTTCAGACAACACACCCAGTTAGTGACACCAAAATCCATGAGCAGAATGGCCGTCCCTGCAAAGGCCACCACGGCGCTGAGAATGTTGGTCCCCAGACTGCTCCTCACCTGCAGGGGTAGAGATGGAGGGGAAGGAGGGGAGAGGGGAGGCGGGAGGAGGAGGAGGGACAGGAGCCTCCCACACCAGGCCTCCCATGGCCCCCTGGGACCTCACACCCATGCCCGTACCTGCGTCCTCCTTGACCTTCTCCTTTCCTCCTGTCCTTCCCCGGGGACCTCAGGCTAATGGCCCTGCTGGCCACTCCCCCGTCCTTACTTGAATCGTCTTCTCAGAAGCTTCTGGGAAAGGGGCCTAACCTCCTTCATGGCCTCTCTAGGTGGGGTCTGCAGAGTCTCCTTGCCCACCCATTACTATGCTCCACCCCTCAGGCCGAGCATCCTCATGGTGCAGCTACCCCACGGGCAGGGGTCGGGGGAGGCCCTCTGCTGTGGACACTGAGGTTGGGAGAGGTGTTGGGGTCAGTTCCACATGGTTCCAGGCAGGGGTTGGCAGAGCAAGCACTGCAGACGCCTGCGGGGCGCCAGGCAGGGGAGACTCAGGGGCTGTGAGCCTGAGGTTGGGGGGGGTGGTGCGGTGGAGGTCCGGGCCTCGCCCTCATCCGGAGGCTCCAGACTTGGGACAAGTGGACCCCTGGGTGGTCCAGGCGATGGCTCAGGGGTCACCCTCCCCATGCTGCTGGAACCTGATGCTCTTTTGACCCACTAGCTGAAGCCTTCTGGTTAAACAGCCCTAGCCTTAAAGTGGGCACCACTCATGGGTGGACTGGGGACTGCAGAATTTGCTCAGGTTCAAAGACCCCAACTCCTCTTTTTTTGGATGACAGGGAGGAGGTCGTTGAGATCAGAGCAGCCTCACATGTAATCAATTAACTGATGATGAATCCTGCAAACTTCTGTTGAGCACCTGGTGCCTGCCAGGCACTGTCCAGGATGCTGTGAGCATGGGGCAGAGTAATTCAGCTCTCTCTCCCCACCCCCATCCAGACTTTACAGCCTGAGCTGGGTGGGGGGGGGGTGGCGGATATAAGTTTGATTCTGAGGGTTCCCTGTGTCCAGTCCTGTCCTATTACAATCCATTCTCCACCCAGCAGCTCTCAGGAGTGAAAAAAGAGCACTGATTCTCCTGCCCCTGGTGGCTCAGACAGTAAAAGATCTGCCTGCAATGCAGGAGGCCCACGTTTAATTCTTAAGTGGGGTAGATCCCCTGGAGAAGGGAATGGCAACCCACTCCAGTATTCTTGCCTGGAGAATTCAATGGATGGAGGAGCCTTGTGGCCTACAGTCCAACTGAGCGACTAACACTTTCACTCCCCCCCACCTCCACCCCGGGCTCCAACCTCTGTGGCCTCCCACTGCCCTTCAACTTGACTCCACCCGCGAGTGTCTCCCCACCTTTCCCGCTCAGCTTAGTTCCTCCCTGTCAGCCCCTGGTTTGCTGAAATCCAAAGACCTGGCCCCTTGTCCACCCTCCAGCCTGGGATACTGGTCTCCAGGCTTTTGTATGGCTGCTGCCCTCTGAATAATGAGCTCAGCCACACCTGCTCAAGGACTGGAGACTCTCCCAGTTGAGCGGAACCCCTCACATTATCCTGGGGCTTTGTTCAGCACTTTTCACTCTGTAAAGACCTTATCTCTGTGTGTGTGTGTGTGTGTGTGTGTGTGTGTGTGTGTGTTTAGGCAGGGGTTGGGGGTGTCTTACCAGACATTAGAATGTAAGCTCCATGAGGGCAGGGACTTGACTCTGGTGTGATGCTCAACACTCTCCCATCCAAAGTCTCCATCGCCCCCTGCCTTCCCCGCCCAATCACCCGCAGAAGGCATGGAGCTGTCTGAGATGTCGACCCAGTGCATCTCTAACTTCTCCGCACTTCCCTTCCAAGACTTTTGCCCCAGTCAAATGGAGTCACACATAGTTTCCACGGTGACCCTGCCCATACTCCGTCCTTGCATCCTCATGATCTTCCTTCAGGATTCCTACATGCCCACCAAGGCCCAGATCAGCCATATCCTGCTCAGGAGGGCTTTTTGCCTTGTCCTTTTCTCTGGGCCATGAGCACTTCATCTGCAGACCCTCGCTTTCTGCCTCTTATGGTATTTTGAAAGTGCGTCTTGGTTTCTTCTCTCCTGTAGGCAGGGCAGGGACTGTGTCTGGCTGTCTGGGTGTTACCCCATGCCTGGCCTCCACCAGCCCCCTATGGAGTGCGTGGTGAGGGAGTCTTTGGAGGCAGGGCAGAGTGGAGCTGGCTGCAGCCCCACTCTCACCACTGGGTCTCCCACTCAGACTTACCAGGTAACTGGTGTGGTTCTTCTCGGCTGCCACTGAGAGGGACCCCGAGATGATGAACTGTGTGGGGAAATGGGTGTCCTAGTGAGGCTTCAGCCGGGACACTGGGCAGGGCACACCATGCCTGGCACTATCAAGGCCATGGGTATCAGGGAAAGGCCAGCAGCCTTCTGGATGCCACCTTCTTGGCCTCCTGGCCAGGCACTTGAGATCGCTCTGTGAGGGTATCCCATGGTTACTACAGGCCCCTGTCCAGGGAACTAGGGCCATGGCTTGAAAGATGAATGTTTTCATTGACATTGTATCATCAGTAGGGAAGGCATTGCTCCTTCAGACATTCACTCATCAGACATTTCCTGAGCAGCAGGCATGTGGCAAGATCCTAGCAGAGTTGAATAAGACAGACAAGATCTCTGCCCTCCTGAGGCTTCTAGTCTAATTTGGGAAGATGGACACTTAGCAAATAAACAATCAAGAATGCTTAGAAGTTTGAAGTTTGGAGGCCGGGTAACTACAGGTGTTTTGTGTCCTTATCCCCTGCCTTCATCCCCTTCATTCCATCCTTTTGGCGGGGAGCAGGCTAAGCTCTATGCTGGGAGCTTTTCACACACAGGAGTGGGGGCTGGGTCAGATAATGATTAGGGTTTGTGGCTGGGAGTTAGATTTAGGCTCAGGCCCCCACCCAGGAGCCGCTGTGCCTAGGAGAATGAGGTGGAGGGTGAGCCTGGGCACAGCCCCCCGCCCAGATGGCCCGGCACTCACGCAGGCTCCTCCCCAGAAGGGGACGCCGCCTTCGATGAAGAGCATCCCCACGTGGCCGCGGCGGACCATGAGCAGCACGCCGCCGAAGCCCAGGTGGATAAGGCCGATGAGAATCTGGACGGTCTGCGGGGAGCAGACGGCGGCTCAGCCAGGCGGGCGCGGCGGGCTCCACACCGCCCCCTGCCGGCCTCAGAGGAGAGCGTGGCAGGGCCCTGCAGTCCCGCTTTGAACCCTCAGCGACTCGGAAATGAACTCAGATTCCCTTCTTTTAAGGAGACATCATTATAACAACTGTAAAAGACACGGTATTTTAAGATGGAAAGCCAGTTCCCCACAGCTTTCAGGACCCACCCTTCTGTTTCCATGTCTCCACGGGTTTGCCTTTTGCTCTGACCAGGTCTCAAGCATCCTGTGTTGCTACTTGGTTTCTTAGCCCTCATGTCAATGGCTCAGCAATCCCTGCGCTGACTGCCTCACCGCTTCCTTCCTTGTACCCCTGCAGCCTGCACAGATATCTCCTTGAGTGTTTTTCTCATTGGAGTGTCATTGATGCATCCCAGTCACGTGCAGGAGCTGCCGCCTACCACCTGGAATCTGGACTTAGGTTTTATATTGATTAGTTAATCAGTTAATTAAAGGAGTAGTTTCCCAGCACCTCACTGATCCATTCTCAGAAGCAGGATGGTTTTCCCAAGGATGAGTACAATGGGGGCTTCTGATTCATGATGCCACATTTCTTTCTAAGTGGGTTTTTTTTTCTTTTTGTTTTGTTCGTTTGTTTTAAAGTATTTATTTATTTGGCTGCTTTGGGTCTTGGTTGAGACATACAGGATCCTTCATCACGCAGCATGGATTCTCTAGTTGGAGCATGCAGGCTGCAAAGTGCACAAGCCTCAGTAGTTGCAGCAGGCAGGCTGTGGGATCTTACTTCCCCGACCAGGAATTGATCCCTCATCCACCTGCCTTGCAAGGCAGATTCTTAACCACTGGACCACAGGGAAGTCTCTGTTTTCCAAATGGTTTTGGTAACAACTGAATCTAGAACTGTGTGGAAAGGGACATTGATGGCCCCTGAACTCAGCCTCTGTCTAATCCGGGTGGTGGTGGTGGTTTAGTCACTAAGTCGTGTCCAACTCTTGCGACCCCATGGACTATAGTCTGCCAGGCTCCTCTGTCGATGGGATTCTCCAGGCAAGAATACTGGAGTGGGTTGCCATTTCCTCCTCCAGGGGATCTTTCCGACCCTGGAATCGACCGGGTCTCCTGCATTGCAGGCAGATTCTTTACTGATGGAGCTACTAGGGAAGATCCTAATCCAGGAGCCCTGTCCACATCTCCTGACTTCTAAATGGACTCCCTTAGTGATGAGGTGCTCACTGTGGTCCATTTATGGGCAGTTCAGGCTGTAGAATCATATCTTAGGATAATGTGCTATTTATATGTCTTCCTAACATGACAGCCAAGCATTTGTACATTTAAAGGCGTGACCCTTTGAATCCTCTCTTTCCTTCTCTCTTTGGTCACATGTCTTCCATCTTTTCTGTGCCCTTATGGGGCATCACGTCCCAGCTGCCAAGGCCACTCTCCTCCTCGGGTCCTTCCCCTGCTATTGGATCAACACTGCTATTCCAGTTACTCCTCGTAAGACACCGGCTGCCACTTACCAAATGCCTGTCTACACTAAGCGATGTGCTGGGTGTTTTAAAGACATTATCTCTTTTAACCCTAATGTGATGAGGTAGGTATCCTAAAATTATTATCTTGATTTCAGAAATGAGGAAATTGAGGAAAATGAGGTTCAGAGATATTCAGTAATTTGTGCGAGGTCTCCCAGCTAGGAAGTGGCAGGCCAACTAATTCTAAAGCCAGTATTCTCCCTGGCTGACACTCCCTAGAACCTATCTATAGTTTCTCCTTTTTATATTTTTCAGCAATTTTCATTTGTCTCAGCAAAGCCCTTTGGGGGTCATTGTTTCCCAGAGTCTGGTCTGAGATTTCCAGTCTCCAGCAATAGATCCACCATCTTTGTCCATTGCTTCTAGTTCATTCCTGCCCCAGTGGAGTTGGTGCAGCCTTTAGTCTCCTAAGTTCCAGCATATTCAAGCCCGAGCCTTGGGCCAGCGACTGGCTTTGATGAACCTAAGCTCCCTAACCTGTCCAGTGGGAACTATGACCCCTGTCTCACAAGTGGTGATGAGACTCTAAGGAGACTATGCGTGCAAATTCCTTGGCCCAGTGTGCGCACCTCTCGGGGGCACTCAGTAAATGAGAGCTGTCATCACTGTGGTCATCACCACCATCATCATCAATTAAACTATGTTTTCCTCTTCCACTAGGACAAATCGAGGCTGAGCGGCAAGCTGAAGACACTCCGCATGTAATATATAGATAAATATGTGTGTCTATCTATCTGTCTATCTACTGATCTCCCTCCAAGAGGTCAATATCTCAAGGCTATCTGAGGCTGGACTGTCAGCCCTTTAGGAGCCAAGAGCTGGCCTTGCTACCACTTCAGCTTCATCTCATCTCCCTCCTTCCTCTGCTCATCACCTTCTAGCCATGTCCACCTTCTATTTTGTCCTTGAACAAGCTACCTCAGGGCTTCTGCACTCGCTGTTTCCTCTACCTGATGAGCCAGTCTCTGTCCCCTCACTTGGCTGGCTTCAGCCCAGCATCTAGATTATTAGCTACAATGTCATCTCCCCAGACAGACCTCTCTGTCCATCTTTGCTAGTGTTGCCCCTCCCCCATGATAATTTTTTACCTCACTGCCTTATTTGGAGTTATTTCAGTCATTTGTTCACTGGTTTACTCTCTGTGAGCTCTGCAGAATGGTCCTTGTCTGCCTGGTGCATGGCTGCATCCTCAAGTCCTCATTGCTGCTGCTACTGCTAAGTCACTTCAGTTGTGTCCGACTCTGTGCGACCCCATCCCTGGGATTCTCCAGGCAAGAACACTGGAGTGGGTTGCCCTTTCCTTCTCCAATGCATAAAAGTGAAAAGTGAAAGTGAAGTCGCTCAGTCATGTCCGACTCTTCGCGACCCCATGGACTGTGGCCTACCAGGCTCCTCCGTCCATGGGATTTTCTAGGCAAGAGTACTGGAGTGGGGTGCCATTGCCTTCTCCTCAAGTCCTCACTAAGCATCTACCAGTTGCTACCCTGGCGGCTCAGACAGTAAAGAATCCACCTGCAATGCAGGAGACCTGGGTTTGATCCCTGGATTGGGAAGATCCCCTGGAGGAGGGCATGGCAACCCACTCCAGTATTCTTGCCTGGAGAATCCCCATGGACAGAGGAGCCTGGCGAGCTGCAGGCAATAGGGTTGCAAATAGTCAGACACGACTGAGCAACTAAGCACAGCACATACCTCCAAGGTGCATGAGTGCCCCCTCCTTGCGCAGCACCTGTGCCCCAGGTGGTCGGAGAGACTGTTCTTACCCCCAAAGCCTTGGGCTCTCCCGTCAGGAATGTCTCCCCGGGTCGCAGGTCTGGTGGCTGGGTGACCCGCGGTGTCTGCGCCCCCAGCGGCGGCTCCTCGTACTGCATGATCCCCGGAGGCTGGCGCAGGGAGGTGGGCAGGATGGCTGGGGGCGGGCGGAGGCCGCTGGTGTTGCTGGGTGGGATGACGACAAACACGCCATTGCTGGAGGGAGCCGCGGACATCGTGCTCAGAAAGCCTGGAGACAGAGGCTCCGGAAATAATAATGATAGTGATGATGGTTATGCACCTGCATAAGAGACTGTCAGTTTATCAACAGCCTGCCTGCCTACCTACCCCTGTTCACTGCAGTCCCCAGAGGCTGCTCAGAGAAGAAGGGAAGCTTCCCTCAGGGAAGTAAAGGGACGTCAGAGGTCAAGGTGAGGCAAGGCCAAGACTTGAATCCAGTCTTTCTGACCCTAGAAACCACATTCTCCATCTCTGTTGTTATGACATGGAAAGGCCCTTTAGGAGGAACATGCATTTAAATTGCCTCCTTTGCCCAGAGAAGGCAAGTGACTTACTCAAGGACACACAGCTAGTATGAGCCAGAGCTGAGCATCTCTTCACAGGGGACTGGAGCTCACCCACCACTTCCTATCCCTTAGCCCAGGGCTAATGAGCTTGCATAAATAATCCCCCTGGGCGATTTCCTGCTGTGGGAGCTTTCCTTTTGGCCACCCAAGCAATCACCATTATAGTCGACAAGCCACGCATGGAGTATGGAAACTTTATGCGTAGCTGGCCTGAGCAAATGCTTTGGGGAAAACCACCCAACTATCAGGAGATGGGTTTACTAGGACCAGCAGAGGGATGAACCTGCCAGATTATACAATGAAATGAAGAACAGGCATCCTTCTCATTGACGTTAATTGGTTCAGCACACGACTCTGCAGATAGAAGCTGGAACTTGAATCCTGGCCCCTCTGGGTAGTGGGAGACCTGGGGGCAAGATGGCCACCTACCCCAGCCTCAGTTTCCTTATCTGTAAAGTGGGGATAAGAACACTGAGAGATAATCTCATAGGGTTTGGTGTGAACTAAAATAACACACCACCTTGAGAAAAGCCACCCTTCAGAGTCTAGCCACGACTAGGAGTCAGGCACAGGGTCCGTGGCCTCAAGGAGCCTCGTGTCTGGTGGGAGGAGCAAGAGAAGCTTGTAATTCAGGCCAGCAGATGACGACAGCATTGACTGAGCACCAAGCTCGGGGTTGGGAGTAGGAAGAAGAATTAACAAGGCATATCCCTTGGGATGGACAGGTGCACACGGCTATATTTAAAATGGATAACCAACAAGGACCTACTATATAGCACAGAGAACTCTGCTCAGCATTGTGTGGCAACTCGGATGGGAAGAGAGTTTGGGGGAGGATGGATACATGTATATGTATGGCTGAGTCCCTTTGCCGTGCACCTGAAACTATCACAATATTGTCAGTTAATCACCTATACCCCAATACAGAATAAAAAGTTCAAAAAAAAAAAAACAAAGACTGCCCTGTCCTCAGACTCTGGCAAGGTAAAGCAAGGCTCTGTTAGGCCAGGGTGCTGGTGGAGGTGGGAACTGATTCCACCTCACTGGTTGCGAGCTCAGTCGCATCTTCAGGGAGGACGCAGACCTGAAACTCAGAGGCGGCTATTCTCTGCTCTCACCTCCCCACCCACATTCCTTCCCTTTTCTCTTTCTCTCGTCATCCATCTTTTTCTTTCCCCGCCTGTTGCCCTTTTCTCTCTTCACCAGACGTATTTGAGAAGAGTAGGCAACTGCTGAGGATGTTGTGAAAGAGTCCCTGGTCTGGCAGTCCAAGCACATGGGACCAGAGTGAGAAGCTGGGAGACGGAGGGTCTGGGCTGAGGAGAACCCCTCCTGCCCCAGGAGTCCTCGCTTCTTGAGGTGTGAATTATGAGCATTTACTCCTCTCATTCTAAGGGAGAGAAGGCATGGATTGTTAGCTCTGCTTAGAGATGTTTCCCTGATGGCTCAGCAGATAAAGAATCTGCCTGCAATACAGGAAACACAGGGGACGTGGGTTCAGTCCTGTGTGGGGAAGATCTCCTGGAGAAGGAAATGGCAACTACTTCAGTATCCTTGCCTGAAGCATCCCATGGCCAGGGGATCCTGGTGGGCTACAGTCCAATGGGTCTCAAAGAGTTGGACATGACTGAATGATGAAGCACAGCACAGAGATGAGGAACTAGAGGTTCAGAGAGGGTGACTGTGTCTCCCATGGTCACACAGCACCTCAGTATTGAAGAATTGGGGTAGGTCTGGACTCCTGTCTCCTGGTAGAAGGACTGTTGACTTGATGGGAGGCATTCATTCCTGGGTTCAAGTCCTCCCTATGTCAGAGTGAGGGGATCAATCCAGTATTCCAGTCTTTGGAATACTAGTTCTAAAATGCTTGTAATAAAAGTTAATTTAAAAAATACAACTATACTCCAATATAAATTAATAAAAAATAAATGAAATACTTGGAGTCCACAGAGGAGTGAATAACCAACCACTGGGGCCTGAGTCTGCCAACTTTCTACTTCCTCACACAAGTTCATTTAAAGAAATCACCCACATTCTCAACATCACCTGAAAAGGATATTTAGCACCAGAGAGGGAGGAAGGGCATAATTTTAGAAAAAAAGGACAAAATCTTTAGGTGGAACACATTTAACTTGGTGCTGCTTTGCCTGTAGGGTTGTCATTTCATCAGGGACAAGGTTCACTGGTGGCTCAGATGGTAAAGAACCTGCCTGCAACACGGGAGACCTGGGTTTGGCCCCTGACTCAGGAAGATCCCCTGGAGAAGGGACTGGCAACCCACTCCAGTATTTTTGCCTGGAGAATTCCATGGACAGAGGAGACTGGTGGGCTACAGTCCATGGGGTTGCAAAGAGTCGGACACAACTGAGTGACTAACACTTTCAACACAGGTGAAAACTATGTCTGGACCCATGGTGATTTGGAGCACATCTGTGAACACTGTCTGGGGGCCCAAGAAGCAGCACCATGACCTACACCCTTCCTGGGCTCTCCGAGGGGGCCAGAGGGGCCTCAGAAGGGAGCACAGGCATAATTAACGGCATCTCTCCGAGGTGGGAGGTGAGAAATTTGCTAAAACTGAGACCTCACTCCCCCTTAGATGAAAACAAAACACCTACAAAAATAGGCTCTCAGCTGATGTCGCGGGTTAAGAGGCAATGAAAGTGTCACAGAGCTCCTGAGACTTGAAATTCTCTACTTACCCCTCTGAAGCTCCCATCAGCATCGCCACACCATCAGGCCAGGGACCACCATTCTGTCAGGTTCCAAAGGCCACATGGTCCATGCCTCTAGCTATGTGCCTCCAGAAAGAGACTCTATTTTCCTTGTGAATGAATCACCCAGCTCGCTGTAAGCCCTGATGGACGTGTGTCAGGGACAGGCAGGTGGAAAAGGGGCAAAGTCATGATCCCCTGTATCCAGGAGTTTACCAGATACCCACCAGGGGAACGGGCACCCAGACTTCAACAATGTGTGATATGAGCGGCTGCACAGCCTTCTGCAGTTAGTGGAGTCCTTATGCGTATGGGAACCATGGAACCTTATAACAGCCCCTGAGGTCAGGGTTAATCAGTCCATTTTGCAGACCAGTAAACTGAGGGTCAGGGCTTCCCTGGTGGCTCAGTCAGTAAAGAATCCACCTGCAATGCAGGAGACCCAGGTCTGATTCCTGTATCCGGAAGACCCCCTGGAGGAGAGCATGGCAACTCACTCCAGTATTCTTGCCTGAAGAATCCCATGGACAGAGGAGCCTGGTGGGCTACAGTCTATGGGGTCACAAGAGTCAGACACAACTTAGTGACTAAACCACCACCAAACTGAGGGTCAGATATTGTAGTATGGTCGAGTGGCCCGGGCCATGGGCCCAGAAATTGGACATAATTGTCAGAGATGTTAAAACAAAAGTTTCAGCTGACTTCAGATACTGGAATGAGCTTTGCCACAGACTACCTGGTAGCACTTGCCAAAAGCAGGTGGTCGTGAACCTACTAGGTGACTTTGCCACCTTCACCCACATGGCTGGGAATGGAAACTGAGAGCGGATTTTGGAGATAATATTAGTGTGATCTGAATTTAAATACAGGGGAAGGAAAGCTTTCCTGTTCACCTTGAGACAAAAGGGAGGGGCTGGCTTTATGGACACTTGGAGAAATTGACACGCACTCCTGCATTTTGGGCTTCCCGTGATTCTGAGTAGAGGGAGGGGTTTGGGGGGGAGGTACACAGGAGAGAGACCCCTCCCAGTGATGAGGGGGTGCATCCAGAGACCTGGTAAAACACCTCTGCAGAGAAACTGGCTCAAACACTGCCAGCCTCAAAGGAGGATGATGGGTGCTTGCAAGAGCAGCAGTTAGTTCCCCTCTCCCTTCATCTCTTCCTTCTCTCCTCCTTCTGCAGCCCTGGAGAAACTGCGGTCAACCAGCTGGTGGGAGGGGAAGTTGGTGGGAAAGCCAAGGGGAGGTCCTCCAGGTCCTCTTCTTACCTGCCGTATGCTGGGCTGAGGATCCTGGTGCCCTAAACTCCTTGTGACCTAACAGGATATCGGACCCTCCTGTGACCAAATCGGGGGTGTTTGCCTCGTGTGAGAGCAGCCAGAAGAGTGTAGTGACCATCCCAGTTTCGATCTCACATAGTCGCTGTGAGTTTTAAAAGAAACTGCCAGCCTCATGTCCAGCACAGTGCCTGGCAAGTAGGGGGCAACCAGTGCTTCTAGCCTCTGTTGCTAGTGACATCCTTATGAAGTAAGTGCTATCTCCATTTTGCTGATGAAGAAATTGAGCTCAGAGACATTAAGTGATGGGTACGGTCTCTGTCCAGTGACTTATTCGATTCTTTGTGAGCCTCAGTTTCCCCATCTGTAAAATGGGTCCCTAAAAATCCCTTCTGGTGCTCAAGCCCTGCTCCTGTGGAACCTGGGGTGAGGTGAACTGTCCTCTCCCTGGGGGCTTCTCTCCAGGATCTTCGTGGGCAGGCAGAGACACGGGTGGCTCAGGAGAGAGGGCTTATTACCTGTTGTTTTGAACATAAGCAAGGTGACCTGCCCAGTGTCACATGGCCAGGGTAAGGGATGGAGCTGGGATGCAAACCTAGGTCTTCTCACTCCACCTCCTGCTCTTTCCCAGTTCCCTGAGGCCCCTCTGATGTGGGGG